TTTACACTGCCCTTTTTTTTTTTTTTGGTTGCACAGCTTGTGGGATCTCAGTTCCCTGACCAGGGATTGAACCCAGGCCACGGCAGTGAAAGACTGGAATCATAACCACTAGCCCACCAGGGAACTCCTGTACACTGCCCCATTTTTTAAAGTCAGATAAATAATACAGCAACATTAGAAGAAATATAATTACCTTTGTTTTTGCATATTCCCTTTCAGTCATATACATATATTTCATATTAATATTTCAAATGTAATGATTTTATTTGGATATATGTATAACTATTTTTTTAAATCTGGTAACTCACTCATCATTGTTATGTTTTCAGATGGTCACCTAATATTCCTGATTAGAGACAGTATCATTTAACAGCTATTCCCTAGCTGTTGGAGCTACTTGTTATCATCATGATATTATTTGTATTATGGACATTCTTAAAATAATCATCTTCATGAACACATTTTTTAAGTAAAAAATTTTTAGTCTCAGGATAACTTCCAAGTAGAATTAAATCATGAAAAGTAAACATAACCTATATTTTCCTGTATTTCTTTAGTGTTTTTTCCAAGCATAGGCAATTTTTTCTTGCCTTAGTGCTTTTTTTTCTTTCTCTAACTTTTGACTGTGGAAAAATTTCAAGAAACACAAATGGAAAATGGAGTAATGAACTCCCCTGTACCTATCATTCAGCATCACGAATGCTCGTGACCAATCTTGTTCTCTCTCTCTCCCACAAGCTTTTTTTTTTGCTGCAGTATTTTAAAGCACATCCCAGACATCATATCTTATCTACATTATGTGTCAGCTTGAATCTCTAATAAACTAACAGATAAAATGTGTATTTATGTAACCACATGCATTATTACATCTAACACAATAATTAATATGCAACAGCCAGTCCATGTTCAAATTTCTCTGTCTCAAAAATTGTGTGTGTGTGTGCGTGTACAGCTGAGTTGTTCAAATCAGGATGCCCAAGCGGCCCGTACATTGCATTTGGCTGATACAAGTATAAACATTTTTACATGGTTATAATTGTACCATCCATAGAAGTAAAACATTTGTCCTTTAATATCACTTAACATTCTTTGATAAATGTTTCCATCCTTAGATGAACTTTTATGATCCTTTAAAAGGCTGTATATTCCACTGTGATAGACAGTTAACCACATTCCTACTGTTCTCTTCAAGTTTTCTTTAATTTTTCATTACCACAAATAATGTTAAGATAAATATATTTGTGAATAAATGTGGTTTCATATTTAGGATTAGACTAGGTTCTTGGAAATGGATCTGTTGGATCAGAGTACAGAGTTAACAGTTTAGCAAACATTTATTGTGAACAAGTACACAAGTTTTTTTTTTTCCCTCAATGAGCTTATAAAAAAATACGTAGTTTAAGGGCCTTGTAATGCACTTCACAGTACTTCCCAAAAGGTCTGTATCAATTAATTGCACCTGAAATATTTTAGGGTCCTGTTTTTACTACACAGTCTTGCCAGAACTGATAATTAAAATGTCTAATATTAATGTAATTGGAAAAGGAGAAACATTTAGCACAGTGACTGGCACATAAGTGCTCAAGTACATGTTAGTGATTGTTAGCATTTTCATTATTATCATTTACTACACCTAGTTTTTCTCCTAATTCTTTTAAGATACCATTTTTAACATTTACCTCTTTAATCTATCTGGAATGTATTTATGTTCATCCATCTTAAATTTGTTTTAATGTGCTGTATGAGATACAGATCTCATTTTATTTTTCCAAAAAGTCATTACTTAATGCCACTGATTACAGGACAAACTTAGTTGTTTAAAGCATTAACTCTGAGAGAGACTGTTTGGATTTGAATCCTGCCTCTACTACTACTCAACTGTGATTTGGGAAAAGCTAGTCAAGGAGAAAATAATCATAATACCTACCTTACAGGGTTGTACAGATTGAAACAATTTACACATACAAAGCCTTTCAACTAGTACTGTACTGGCATATAAGGAATGCTTCATAAGAATTGTTTATTGTTATTTATTGGCTAGGCTATCTTTTCCACACTAATAGGAAATATCACTCTCGTTGTATAATGAATCCTTGGGTTTGTCTCTAGGCTTTTTTTATTTAGTTCCCTTGGCTTCCATGGGCATCACAATGTTTTAATGATTATACCTTTATATTTTGATATCTGACACCTCCTTATTGATCTTTTAAAAGTTTTATTGACTATTCAACATTTTCATTCTGAGATAAACTTTAGAATAACTGTTCCAAAAGAAGAATGATTCTGGGATTCTGATTAGAATTACATTATAAGTTCTCCAAAGAAGATATACAGATTGCCAACAAACACATGAAAGGATGCTCAACATCACTAATCATTAAAGAAGTGCAAATCAAAACTACCATGAGGTATCACCTCAGTGAGGTATCACCTCACACGGGTCAGAATGGCCATCATCAAAAAATCTACAAACAATAAATGCTGGAGAGGATGTGGAGAAAAGGGAACCCTCCTGCACTGTTGGTGGGAATGTAAATTGATACAGCCACTATGGAGAACAGTATGGAGGTTCCTTAAAAAACTAAAAAAAAGAACTACCATATGACCCAGCAATCCCATTACTGGGCATATACTCTGAGAAAACCATAATTCAAAAAGAGACATGTACCACAATGTTCATTGCAGCACTATTTACAATAGCCAGGAAATGGAAGCAACCTAAGTGTCCATCATCGGATGAATGGATAAAGAAGACATGGCACATATACACAATGGAATATCACTCAGCCATAAAAAGAAACGAAATTGAGTTATTTGTAGTGAGGTGGATGGACCTAGAGACTGTCATACAGAGAAGTAAGTCAGAAAGAGAAAAACAAATACCATATGCTAACACATATATATGGAATCTAAAAAAAAAAGGGTTCTGAAGAACCTAGGGGCAGGAAGGTATAAAGATGCAGACGTAGCGAATGGACTTGAGGACGCGGGGAGGGGGAAGGGTAAGCTGAGACGAAGTGAGAGAGTGGCACTGATATATATATACACTACCAAACGTAAAACATATAGCTAGTGGGAAGCAGCCACATAGCACAGGGAGATCAGCTCAGTGCACTGTGACCACCTGGAGGGGTGGGATAGGGAGGTTGGGAGGGAGATGCAAGAGGGAGGAGATATGGGGATATATGTATACGTATAGCTGATTCACTTTGTTAAACAGCAGCAACTAATACAATAATGTAAAGCAATAATACTCCAATAAAGATGTTAAAAGAAATTACATTTTAAGTACTAGGCATACACCCTGAGAAAACCATAATTCAAAAAGACACAGGCACCCCAATGTTCATTGCAGCACTATTTACAATAGCCAGGTCATGGAAGCAACCTAAATGCCCATTGACAGATGAATGGATAAAGAAGACGTGGTACATATATACAATGGAATATCACTCAGCCATAAAAAGGAACGAAATTGGGTCATTTGTAGAGACGTGGATGGACCTAGAGACTGTCATACAGAGTGAAGTAAGTCAGAAAGAGAAAAACAAATATTGTATATTAACGCATATATGTGGAATCTAGAAAAATGGTACAGATGAACCAGGTTGCAAGGCAGAAATAGAGACACAGATGTAGAGAACAAACGTATGGACACCAAGGGGGGAAAGTTGGGGGGTGGTGTGGTGTGATGATTGGGAGATTGGAATTGACATTTATACACTAATATGTATAAAATAGATAACTAATAAGAACCTGCCATATAAAAATAAAATTTAGAAAAAAGAATTACATTATAAGTTAATTTGCAAAAAATGACATCTTAAGCTACCACATTCTGACAGGAACAGGGTATTTCTCTCCATATAAGCATATACTCATGTTCCTCTGTAAACTTCTGAAGTTTTCTTCATGTAATTCCTTGTTAGGTTTAATCCTAGATATTTTATATTTTCATTGTCAATATGTCTAGGATAATTTATTCTTTTACAAATTCTAATAGGTTGTTACTGGCATTTGTAAAGGCTACTTAATTTTATAAGTTTATTTAAAAATCTGCTACCTTTCAGAACTCTAATTCTAACAGGCATTCAGTTGATTCTTGAGTTTTTGAGGGAGATGATGATTTCATCTGGAAATAATTTATCTTGTGTGATGTTTTGATGTTGAGATTTTAGCTTTGTAGATAGTGAAAATACACTGATGTATTTTCTTTCTTTTTATGATTTATTCCCAGCATAGACAATGTCTCCACCCTCCATTCAGAGTTTCATTATAATTTTTCAAGTTTTATTTTGTAATTTTAGTGTTTTATTTAAAATTCTTGGAACCAAGTAAAATTTATTCTGATACATGATATGAAATGAGTGTATAAACAAACTTTCCCCCCAAAAGACTAACATTACTGTTCATTCTCCACTTTCTTATTGATTTACAGTTCTTCCTTTATATAATAAAGAAGAAGCTATGTAGTCTGTTTCATGGATCTACTTTCCTAAATGTAAGCAAAATAGAATCTATGCTAATGATTATAGATTTTTGTCATGTTTCCATATGTGGTTGGGCTAGATTCAATATTTTTTCCAGCAATTCCTCTTACATTTTCCCATTAATTCTTCCCAATGGGCTTTACAACTATTTTATGTTAACCAAATTCTTTTAGAACTTCAAGTTATATTGAACGTTGCATTAAACATAAACCAAAAGTCAGAACTGATATCCTAATTATTCTTACCATCCAGCAGTGCTGTATCCCCATGTTTATTTAAATTTCCTTTTATATTTATCAATAATATTTCATAATTCTCATTCAATAAGTATCCTGTTAGGATTACTCCTGTGTATTTTCTATTTGTGTGTGTGTGATTTGTGAAAAGTGAATATTAAAAATTAAGGATTTACATTCATTCCTTTGTTAAATTTTACTTCCTTAGCAAAAGTAATAAGTATATGAAAGATGTAAAAGGTATATAAAGTACCAAGATTTGTAAATGACATACCAGGTGATGGAGATATGATACAGTCTCCTACAAATTTATTTTCAGAAAGATCTCCTTTTATTTCAGTCTTTTTTAACAATGTTTCAAAGTGAAAATGAAGAGGCACATCTAGAAAAATAAAGCAAAAAAAGTGTTTTCAGTGAAATCACTCTTTACAGACTCCAATATTAAGACTTAGAAAAATAAGCCAAAGCTTGAAAAGTCATAACTATTAGAAGTGGCAAACTATTCTTTCCAAGCGTGTTGTTAGCAGTATTTTGGAAATTACTGATTATATGTAAAATAAACAACACTAACAATGAACAATTTCATAAACTAAGATGAACAAATATAAATATTAAATACTATTTGCAGATGAAACAAATGCTCCCCAAAGGTCTTTAATAAAATATAGAGCCAAACCTGCCTGACTCTAAATCCATTCCACCCCACCCCTACAAACTCTGCATTTGAAATAAAGTTTCCAAAAGACATAATTACACGATTTTAATTACTTGAGGGAAAACCACTATAATTCAGATGCAACCTTTTATGAAAATGCTGTTTCACATTCCCTTAGTTTACTAGTATTATGAATCACAAAATGAAATCTACTCTTACAAAGATCAAAACATATTGACAAACTAGTTCTTTTAAACAGAGACTTAGGAGAGTCGTTCAATTCACTATGTTTATATTCCATATTCACAACCAAAAGAGAAGCTAAATAAATAAAATAGATGTGCTTCACATTTATTAACTAAAGGGTATTTTCTTCAGTCAAGAATGCAAAAACAATCATTTTAAAAAGCATTCAACAGACACCTAAACTTTTTCGTAAGAAACATAAAGAAATATTTTATAAAGCAGCTGATTTATTCAAAGTTTTGCTACAGAAAGAAGGTATTCATTTTTAAGAAAACTAATTATGAATGCATAAATCAGGATAGACCCAGGAAGGGTCTCAATTTTAAACAAGTATCTCTCCATCAAAAGGTGTATTTTAATGGCAGATCCATACTCAAGTGTGGAAAAATTTTTCTACACAAAAAAATGGGTTCATAAATATCACTTGGAGACTCTCCCAAGGGTCAGATGTAAGATGGATTTCAATGCTATCACTATACTATGACCATAAGAAAACTATATGATAAAATGAAAATAAGAATACAAATTAAATATGCTACTTAAACATTTCAGGATTCTGATATTTCCAATTATCAAAACATAAGTTTTTCCAAAGAAATATCACTTAACGTTTATATGGAGTATCGCCTATTCTACCACTGTTCTTGAGTTGTGGGAAAACATGACATAACTAGGGAAGGTGCTTGGTCTACCCATATACCTTCCATAGAACCCACACTGTGACCTGTGGGCTTTTTATTAAAATTTCATAACACTTTATTACACTTATTAGTTTATATTTCAGTTGTCAAACTAGAATGCAAGTACCTTGAGGGATTTATTTGTATTTATACTCCTACCACCTACTTAGTACCTAGTATACAGCAGGTATTCAGATTTTTATTAAATGAACACAAGAAGAAATGGATAACCCTAAGTAGTAGGTAAGGAAGCTAATCTTAACTTATTAGATGTGACATAGTAGGATGAAAGATTATTTATGCCAGCTCTTAGATTTTTGTTATCAGAGAAACAAATTTACTAATAAGAAAACAGAAAGGCAGTAAAGAATATGGTTAGGAGTGTGGCTCTGGAGAATGACCACCTCAGATCAAATCCTGTCTCCATCATTTACTAGCTGTGTACTATGGATGAGTAATTTAACATCTCTAAGCCTCAATGTTCTTATATGTAAGATAAAGAGGACAATAATATCTATCCTCATGGGGTTGCTGCAAGCATCAAACAAGAAAATGTAATGTGCATATAGGACCCAGTGTATGCTAAGACCAAATGTTAGCTGTGTTATTTTTATATATATTATTTTTTCTTTCTATTATTAAGGTTTCCTCAAGGATGGAGTAAAATAGTTCCTACCAGGAACTTACTTCAAAGTATGGTGTGTAGCTAAGAAACCACTGTAATACTGGTAAAAACCAAACTAAGATTCAGGGCAGGAATAGGTACAAGAAATAGTGCTTTACAAAGAGGAGCAGTCCCGGGATGATTAGAACCAAAAGCTGAAAAGGAAACAAAAGCTCATTTGAGATATCTTCCCATAAAGAGAGGAACCTGAGATAACGAGTGTGAAGAATGTTTGCTTTTTTACCCTAAATATTTACTTCAGTTCCAATGTAGGTAAGATTGGAAATATTCGAACAGAAGACAGAACTGGAAAGAAACTTAAAGCCATCTTAGGGATATAGGGATGCAATGCCTCATCTGCTCGGTTGCATATTACAGGTATTTTTGAGGTTCAGAAGTTGACTATGTCTAAAGATGGACAATTTTCTTCTCTCAGAGAAACTCAATGCTGATTACAGATGGAGGAATACTACATGGCAGGGAAAACTCCATGCAAAACAACACATTAGAAAAAGAACTCTGACTTACTGAGAAACATTTCAACAGCACAGCCATGTTATCAATAAAATGCTAAAAATTTAACATCAAAAGGAGATCAAAAGCTAAGAATTTCCCAAAGTAAGTCAAAATGGTTTCCAAGGAATTAATAAATCAACCTAGGGCTTCCCTGGTGGTGCAGTGGTTGAGAGTCCGCCTGCCGATGCAGGGGACACGGGTTCGTGCCCCGGTCCGGGAAGATCCCACATGCCGCGGAGCAGCTAGGCCCGTGAGCCATGGCCGCTGAGCCTGCGCGTCCAGAGCCTGTGCTCCGCGACGGGAGAGACCACAACAGTGAGAGGCTCACGTACCGCAAAAAAAAAAAAAAAATCAACCTAAAGATAGAACATTAATTCAGTATGTGACTAGATTAATTTCTCTATGAAAACTGTTTAGCTCTAATACCCAGTGACAACTGATAAAAGTTTATCAGATTCCTTGTATTTACAGGATTAGATTTCACCATAAAAAAGTCAGTTACTTAGAAATTTTTTAAAAGGAATCTTACCTGATGGCAATGATAGAACGGAATGGAAAGAAGAATCTATCTCTGATACATGTTCTGTTAATATTTGAGACTTTGAATTGTGTTCACAGCTGCTCCAAATTGAAGATGATTGCAGGCAAGGCATTTGTGTAGTATTTAAAAACCTTGTTTCTTTTGAAGGCAAAGTCTGCAAGGAAAAAAAAATAAAGACTTCATTTTTGTTGAAAAGCGAATCAGAGAGAATAATAACAGTTATAGTACAATATCTGAATGACACCAGCAATAAGTCCTGGATTACTAAATCACCTTGGGGAGAGTGCTTTACAATGACCTAGACTAAGTGATAGAAGCAAAGATATAGAAGGCCATGAGTGTGATGAGATTTGACTAGTCCCTTTTCAGTTCTTCAAAATGAAGAGTACAGTCTGTGAAAATGGGTCTTTCTCCCATCTTAAGAAATCATAAAAAAGAGAAATGAGTTTGAACAACTTTAGGTCACAAGAAAATGGTTACACTCCAGATTAGTGAAAAATATGACAGTGAGCAGGTACTATGTTATGATTAAGAACTGTGCATACAGTTGACCCTTAAACAGAGGTTTGAACTGTGCAGGTCCACTTATAAGCGGGTTTCTTTCACTAAATAGGTACCCAGATCATAGTATTACATGATCTGTGGTTGGCCGAATCCTCAGATGCTGAACCACAGATAGGGAGGAAGGCCAACTGACTGTAAAGTTATACATAGATTTTTTACTGAGTAGGGGTTGACGCCCCTAACCCTCACCTTGTTCCAGGGTCAACTGTACTGTTTTCCTCCTTCTAATCTGTTATAACCAATGAGTGAAACTAGAGTCTGCCTTAAATTATAATGTGAGACAATATCTACACTGCAATAACAGTGAAGTACTATGAAGACATATGTATTACATATTTACATTAAGTAAAATTGAATTGAAAATATTAAAAAAGATATGTATAAAATATGCAATATGGGGCTTCCCTGGTGGCGCAGTGGTTGAGAGTCCGCCTGCCGATGCAGGGGACACGGGTTTGTGCCCCTGTCCGGGAAGATCCCACATGCCGCGGAGCGGCTAGGCCCGTGAGCCATGGCCGCTAAGCCTGCGCATCCGGAGCCTGTGCTCTGCAACAGGAGAGGCCACAACAGTGAGAGGCCCGCGTACCGCAAAAAAAAATAATAATAATAAGATAAAATATGCAATATGTTACATGAGTTTGAGTTTAAGATAAAGATTTCAATCCAGAAATCTCATGAAAACCATATTGCTAAATCAAAAAATTATGTTGCTACATTTAAAAAATACATATTCTGTTTGTTGGATTTTAAAATTATTTTTTTCTGGCTATAAGATTAGTATACAACCAATGTAAAAAATCTATAAAATAGAGAAAATGTTTTAAAAGTTAATGGAGTTCACCTGTGTTCCTTTTGTCATTCTTACCTCCACCTACTACAATAACATTAGGACTCATTTTTATAATGGAAATTATATTTAAAATACTTACAATAACTGAGAATTTTGGATGCTATTTTTTTAAAAATTATTTTATAAACTTACATTAAGTTTATCACTTTCTTGAGTTTGAGTTTCCTGGCTAACTGGCATTTTCTGTGTTTCCACAGCACCTTGGGCATGGCCACATCTGCCATAGCATTTAACTAGATTTCCTCTGGACTGTGAGCTCCTTGAAGGTTGGACTATAATTTGTTCAATCCTGTATTCCCAGAACCTGACACAGTCCTTAACATATGGTTGAAACTTGAATGCTGACCAAATGAATTTTATCTCATTTGCTTTTAACAAATTTAGGTGAATAGAACTTTTCAAATACATGTGTGCCTGAGACTATTTCATTGGGGAAAAAATAGTCCCTGTTAATATATGCTAAAATTTATCATGTAATGACTTCTTTTTATATTCCACTGGCCAAGACTTATGTCAGCTAGTCATACCCAGCTGCAAGGAAGGCTAGGAAATGCAGTCATTATGCCGGGTAGTCAAGTAAATTGATGATTTTTATAAGAAGATATAACATGTGGTACGTGATTATAAAGATGTGAGTTATTTCCAAGATTTATTCTAATGATGTTTATGTATATATCTATGGGAACAGTTGCTGTTTCTTACCTTTACAAGATGCACTGGTACTTTTGACTCACTCTAGAATTATTTGTTCTTTTGTGATGTAGTTCAAAAAGATATAAGGAACAATTATATAAAATTACAAAGAAAATGTGCTAACCTCTCTTTTTTCATGTATGGCTAGAACATTATGAATAAAAGTTGATAAAATCTGAATATTTACCATATAATTAGTTTTCTCTTGCAATTTTTCCAAATCCAGGAAACCCATTAGCCAATTTGAAACTATCCTAAATAAATATGGAGACAAGTGAGGGGCATCTAGGAAAAGGCCTTTTTTCCCCTTCAGAGAAAGTGAAGCCCAGGAGGCTGAAAAGGAATGGATGGAGAAATAAGAGAAAAATCTGGAGATTCTTGCCAATAAAAATTCAAATGTCTAGAGGGTGTGATCAACAATACCATATGCTGCATAAGATTCAAGCAAAGTAAAGCCTGAAAAGTATCCATTACATGTAACTTTAATAATGAAACATTTCATATATACAAAAGAGTATATAATTTATAAGGAAGGTATAAAATAATGTTTAAAAAGCACCTATACTCACCATCCTACTTTAAGAAACAGAACAATACCAATACTTTGATGACTTCTCTTGCTATCCCGGCCCCATGAGCCTGTGGCAGAGATTGCTACTTTCCTCCCAATATCTGTGTTCTCCTCCCTCTAAAACTCCTGATTTTCAGCTGGGCACATTTCTCAAGCTTCCTTGCATCTAAAAATTACTAAATTCTAGCCAGAACACCATGAGAAGTCATGTGTGCAACATTTAGAAACTGACCTTAAGAAGGTCACTTAGCCCTCCATACTTCCACCTGTGATGGTGAGCCACCATAATCTTGTGAGTGAGGGTAATGCTCAAAAGATTAAACAAAAAGGCGGCAGGAGCCTGGTTCCTAGATAACCATGTAGAGCATGGTTGTCATGCCTAGAATATTTTCAATCTGTTTCAAAACAAAGAAATAAACTTACATCTTGCTTACATCACTATTTGGGATTTCTGTCAAATGCAGCTAAACCTATACCTTAACTAATACAATGTGCCTCCTCAGTCATATTTTTCTCTCACATTTCCAGGAGTAACTGCTATCCTGAATTTTAATTTTATCATTTCCTTGTTTTCTATTTATAGTTTTTCTACAAAAGTATATGTAATCCTATATAATTTACTATTTAAATTCCTATGCTCTAAAAATGTAAATACACAGAATAATGCTAGATGTATTTTCCTGCTTTATTACTCAACATTATGTGCATGCAATTAATCATTCTACTGTATATAAATATCTAGATTGTTTCTAGTGTTTTACCATTATGAACAATGATAGTATGAATATTATTATATTTGTCTCCTGGCACATGGGTGTAAGATTCTCTAGAGTACACTGCTAGAAATGGAATTGCTGGGGTTATACAAACGCATGAACACACATACTCAACTTCACTAGATAATATATTGTATTGCCAAGTAGTTACAACTAATTTACACTCCAACAGAGCAGATTTTAATTCTCACTGCTTCAGATTCATACCAACAAGGGTACTGTCGGAATTCTTATTTTTGCCAATTTGAGACCATACAAATATCTCATGGTTGAAATTTGTATTGCTCTGTTTACTGTTTAAGTTGACCTCATTTTCATACCTATAATTGGCCAATTTTCCTTCTTTTGGGGAATACATGTTTTGATGATTTTTCTATTGAGATGTCTTTTTCTTATTGATATTTTAATTTCTCTTTATACACTCTTGAAAGTTACAAATCCTTTGTAGGTTCTATGTATTGCTCCCTGTCTGAGCTTCTCTTTGCACTTTTTTTGTGTCTTTTGATCAACAGACATTCTTAACTTAAATGTTTCCTTTATATATAGTTTGCACTTCTTTGTATCTTGATGAGGAAATCTTTTGAATCTTGATGAGGAAACCCTACCTTTAAGTCATAAAGATATTCTTCCACTTTTTTTTTTATAAGAATTTTATTGTTTTGCCTTTTGCAATTAGGTCTTTGTTTAAAATTGATTTCTTTGTGCAAGATGTGAGATAGGGATCCAAACTCATTTTTTTTTCCTCTAAATGGATCACCAATTGACTTAACGCCTTTTACTGAACAGTTAGTTCATCCTCTCCCAACCAATCTACAATGCTGCCTGTTATATACCACATTCCATACATGTCTGGGACTGTTTCAGGGATTTCTAACACTCTACCATTTGTGTCTGTGCTAGTAACCAATGCCTTAATTACTGCATCTTTTAAATAAATCTTGACACTTTTTTTTTTTCTGCGGTACGCGGGCCTCTCACTGTTGCGGCCTCTCCCGCTGCGGAGCACAGGCTCCGGACGCGCAGGCCCAGCGGCCATGGCTCACGGGCCTAGCCGCTCCGCAGCATGTGCGATCTTCCCGGACCGGGGCACAAGCCCGTGTCCCCTGCATCGGCAGGCGGACTCACAACCACTGCGCCACCAGGGAAGCCCAAATCTTGACATTTGATAGTGTAAGTTTCTCCACCTTGTTCCTCAGGGGTGTCTTGGCTGTTATTCTTGCTTTTCACTCCTCTGTATATTTTTTTTATTGAGGTATAGTTGATTTATAATATTATATAAGTTTCAGAAATACAACCTAGTGAGTCACAGTTTTTAAAGGCTGTACTCCATCTTCTGAATAATTTTTAAAAATAGCTTAATTTCCATTAAAAACCTGTAGAATTTTGTTTAAAAATACACTGAATTTATAAATCAATTGGAAGATTTTTGAGATTTTAAAAATTTTGGTATTATGATTAAAGGTCATCCATCCATGAATATGGTGTATCTCTTCATTTATTTAGGTCTTTAATTTCTTTCAATAAAACTTTGTAAATTTCTTCTCTAAAAGTCTTTACATATTTTGTTAGATGTATTCCTAGGTACCATCATATTTATTGTTTCATGTAAAAGGAATTGAAAAATACAATTGACATATACTGAACATGTCCCACAACTCTGCTAAACTTTCTTATTCAAATAATATTACATGTTTTTTCTT